CCAGAAAGTGCAAATAATTCTACAGTCATCTTATATGATTATGCAGTTATTGAATTTTCTAACACTTAGCTAACAGATTTATAACTAAGAGTATTTTTCTAATAAAAAAAAAAAAAAACAGGAGAGCTTTTGTAATCGTATTTAACTTAAGAGGGTCACGGGTCAAGGCAATATGGCATGGTGGCTTGAACTAGCAGGTTTTGTCTTCTATGTTTATGTTAAATGGTGAGTCATACCAATATCTTGCAGAAACATTTGTGCTAAACCCAGGAACATTAATTGCAAGATGAAAGTTGATGGGGAAAAGACTTAAGCTTTTAACTAGTACAAACCTCATCAAGACCTTCTGCAGTCTTAACTGATACATGGCTTGCTCCATCAGGTCCCATTTTCTTGTACCTTGCCATTTCAACATGGTCACTATCTCCATCTTCTGTGTTGAATAAAGTAGGAGGTGCTTGTAATAGATCACATTTTGAGACGACATCAAGCCACAGATGATCAGGAAACCTCTCCTTAATTTCTCTATATATCTTAAACTACAAGATCCAACACCTCGTATCAGAGATTTGATTGGGAACAGTGATCAAAGCAATAGAATAATATTTCTCTGTCATGATAGAGTTCATCTTTAAATTCGATACATTGCAGGAAGAAACTTAACAAAATAAACCTGAAATGCTTATTAAACTTCTTTCAGAGCAAGAAGAAAAGATAATGTTAAAGAGCACCAAGAGGGTGTGACCCATTTACAAAAGCTACAAAACAAAGAAACTAGAAGTTACACAAGGGTCTCAGCTAAAAAATCAACTAGCTCCCTAAGACTTTATATCAAGGATAGAAGAACATAGGAATAAAATATACTTGAGGTGTGAAACCAGTGATCTCTTGTGCTAGCACAACTAGATACAATGCCCTCAAACGGTCTCCTGTTCCTTTCTCTCCAAATGATCTAAAAGATTGCGTGGGGAAAGCTTCTTTTTAACCAAATGAAACCCAATTACTTGTTAGTGATTATCAAAGGTTAATTAGCATCCCTGCTGTTGCCAGGCTTGAACTATAACATGGTGGCACAAATTCAGAAATAAAATTAACATTCTTTTAAGAAATGTGTAACAGCAAAAAATAAATCCTCAGAGGGGGATTCTAATGAAAAATACATGACAGAGACTAAGAAGCATATACCCCCAAGAAGTAGTGGTGAGCGCTAACTATCAGAATAAATGCAATTTTTGCATGTGCATCTGCCTGTACCTCGATACTGTATGCACACGGACCATGAAGTTGTTGATGTTATATTATATCATGGGGGTACCTGATCTGAAGGTGAGGTTCCACATTCTCCAGATAGATCATGAACATATAGCACTGCTGTTGGCAGATGTGTGAGTACAGCAAGAGTTAACTTCTCCAAATTATTCCTATCATCTGTTATGAGACAAAAGGTAAAATGTAAACATTACTATAGAGATGGAAAAACCATTTTGAAAAGCATGCTCAAGATCTTGTACCCAAAGCAGCACCTTCGGATCATGAGATCCTTTTCTATCAGATAAGGGCTGTTGCACAAAATGTACTTTTATGTAATTGTCTCAGAAATCATAATGCTCGCATATAAACATGCATATACTATATACAGGCAAAGACGGAGAGAGAAGACAGGAAGGGGAACTTCCTGCTACTTGAATAGCAAATTTAAACCTTATTCTATATGTGGACTCAGTAATTAAAAGGACAAAACCCATAAACATGCAGTTTTCCTTTACCATCACATCTCTTTAGGAGGCCAGGAGTATCTGTCACCTGTAGTCAAATTGTAGGAGTAAAAAATAATGAAAAGAAAAACAATAAATGCCTTCAAAAAATAACTAACCTGAAAGTGCTGGTAGTTCAAGGTGATGTGACCCATCAGAATTCCTCTGGTTGTAAAGGGATAGTTGCAGACCTTAGAGGGAAAATAGAGAGCAAAAGAGATTAACATAAAGGAAATCATTGTCTTTCACCAAAATTCATAATCCCCTAATATCAATATTGAAAATTTCACATGCTCAAATCAGAAACATTCACCATTTGAATTTAAGCCCTGGAAAGCAGGAAGTCATTGCTTGGAACTGATATTAAATTAACCAGAACATAATATAGAAACATATATATGACTAAATGCCAGAAAAAGTTTCTCGAATATTTGAAAAATTTTAAGTTGAATTCCCAACTATCTATTTGAATATCTGAATACCTTAAGTTAGAAAATTAAATCTTCAATTTACTAGTTTGTTAAACTATAGCATCAAATGCAAGACAACTAGCATTAAAATTTCTCAAATAATTAAGGTAGCCATTTGCAAACATAGCCTCCAAAGCTAAATGATAGGAAAGAGATCAGTACAAACCTCAGGCTTCCCTGTTGAAAGTATACGAACCAAGGATGACTTCCCCACATTAGGAGCCCCAACAAGACACAGTGTTGGTGTTTCAAGATCAACAACTGGCATGGCCCGCAAAGTCTGCAAAGTGTTACTAAGAACCCAAAATGGCTTTCTAAATCGACACTAGTATTAGTAATTAAAATAGAGTTCATAAAACAATATGACCAAGCTGGAAATGTACACAAAAACTGAAAACAATAGAAGAGTTCCTCTTTTTGTTTTCGTTAGGAAGAGAGGAATGAGTGAGTTTGAATTGTACATAAAACCAAAAGTGTTAGCTAACTAGAAACAAATATTTCATTAAGACTTTCGTGATAACATCATCCCTAAACATGAAAAAATTTAAAGCACCAACTTAGGCCATGAATCCCTACTAATCATCATTTGATAGGCTAGCCATAACATTCTGTAGGTATTCACAAATGCATTTTAAACATCTAAAAAAATTATATTCTTGCGGTGTGGATGAAAATGAAGACTTCACTTCATAACACCTTCTTCAGCCCCAGGCTAACCAGCCAATAGCACATGCACATGTTTATTTGTATATGACCATTGCAAGGAAGTGAGAACATAACAACACATGAAAATGACAAAAGAGACAATAACAAAATACAAGCAATGCATTTTCACTTAAAAGAAAAAAGATACCTTGGCAATGTTTAACAAATCATCCACAGCTGTTCCTTCATGTTTAAAGATTTCTTCAAGTTTTTCCATACCCTGAAGATAAAAAACATAGCAAATAAATAATATATACAGACATCGGTTGAAGATATTTCTGATAATATTTGACCTTATTTGTTTGTTCCTCAGCCTCCCGCTTTGTTGATGACTGCACAGAAGAAATAAAAATTTAGTGGAACTTTTCACCTGTTTTATGAACAATATTACACATCACACCACATAAATGAGGCACAAGATTTCAACAGCAATAAGACCAAGGCATCAAACTTTCATATCAATAAGTTGATATCAAACAGAAAGAAGCACAAAGCATATCAACAGAGTAACAATGCGATGCATGACAGTGCAAATAAGTGAAGCACTTCCTCAATACAAGAATTACAAAAACACTTAAAGGTAGATATAAAACAGCTTAATGCAAACCATGGCACATTGTGAATAACTTGATTTTCAATGTGAAGAACTTGATTTTCTGTTGTCTAAGTTCTAAAACATTTTTGTATTTTAAAGGACTATAAAAGAAATGGTAATTCCACCACAACTTTGTGATACACATAAGCTGGCCCTAGCAAACATTCTGCGGATAAAAGTTTGAATCTTAGATAAAAGTAACATAGTATCAATAATATTAAGGGAATGAAATGTCAGAACTCAAGATTCATCAAGTGGACAATAATTTGATATGAAAAAGACACTGTTTACTTTTCCTTCATTGTGCTTCTCAATTTAGCTTAACAGCTAAAGCCTAAATTAACAAAATACTTTGGACTAAAGCTACTAATTCAAAATACTTGTTCAAAAAAAGGAACTAATTCAAGACGATTCAACTAAAGCCACTTATCATTTATCATTGATTTTGAACTTTTTGAGCAGGGAAAAGAAAAAGAAAGAAAAAAAAGCCAAGATGCACATAAAATTGAAACTGGGGAACCATATCACAGCCAGCGGATGTTGCTTGTTTGGCTAGATTTCTGCTTTTGCTTCTGCTGCCAAAAAACAATAATATAAATGGGCACTAAAAAAACATAAATGTTTCTCAAGTAAAAAAAAAAAACCATTTTTTACTTTTGATAAATGTGAATCAAAGCTAAAAATAGACCTTTTTCAGAAATGAACTGTGCTGTAAGAGGTGAATATTTAATGAGTATAGTAAAGTAAAATATATCCAAATTTATAAGTAAACTACATCCTTTTAATTATAGCTTCCTTTTTCTTGCCCCTAAAATTTGTACATATAGCAACGTAATATTCAATGATCAAGGAGAAGCTAGACAGGGGTCTGATATGGACTCCTCCGTGTGCCCACCAAGTTACAACTCGCAGACGTGTTGATTAATGACTTAAGTAGTCCAGCATTCCAAACTATCATTACCAAGCTGGGGATGGATAACATCTATTTCCAAATTTGAGAAGGAAAATTAAAGAACAAAATCACAGAAAGGTAAAGAAAACTAATATTATTCATTTATGGAAGGGCTAAAATAAGCAACAAAAAATAATGTGGTTCACAAAACGAAATACCAAAGCAAAAACAAGTAAAAATTGACTGAAGTTTGACTCTAACCTTAGCACAGAGAGAAGCATGCTCCTTTCCAACAGAAATCACCTTCTTCCTAAGAGAATCCACTTTTCTCAACACCTGTTCAACGGTAAATAATTTTGAACTAAAAACATTTTCTTGCTTGGTTTTGTACACTTGAAACCTGCTTCTAAAATAACTTCATATAAGAGAAAAACATTACATATTTGAAAAATTATTTTGACCTTTCTTGTTATTTTCTTAAGATCCGGTTCGTCAGCAAATAACTTTGAATAAAAACATTTTCTTGCTTGTTTTACTACACTAGAAAACTATGGTTCTAAAAGAACTTCATATAAGAGGAAAACATAATATATTTGGAAAATTATTTTGACCTTTCTTGTTACTTTATCTCTCCTCCCTCAAAATTATGAAAACCAACTTACGTCCTTTATGCAGGACATTGGACATCTACAAAGAGTTTCTCATAATTCCTCATCTTAATATGTTTGACTAACAACTATGAGCCTATCTTTATTTAACTCTTCATATTAAGATGAGTTTCTCATAATTCCTCATGTTAATATGTTTACTAACAACTGTGAGCCTATCTTCATTTACCTCTTCATAATTTCCATCACCAAGCGTCAACTCAATAAGAGATCGTTCATATGGGTGCAAATATTTTCTTTTAGGGAAATTGTCCAAATAGCCTCTCAAGGGAACTGCCAATTCCTGAAGATTAACATAAGAACTTATCAGCCTAATGCATTTGCTCAATACAGGTTAACTTCTAATTTTAATAACAATATACACACAGTAAATAGGGGCATACTTTCATCAGTGCATCAAGTTGCTTTGCTCCTTTATTTCTCTCTCTCTTTGCAATATTTGCAATGCCTATAAAGCATATTGACTGAAGTCATGAACCAATTTGAAACATACTAACTTGAAATGTAAATCACATGATCCTATCTCTATTTAATCCCCATGTCAATTACCTTTTGTGGGTTGGACCCTCTTCACCTTCCTCCGTGCCGAATAATAGATATCAACTGATGGCATTACCATGGGTAGTTTTTGGAATGCACCTATATTTTCAAGTTTTGCTGACGCCTTTTCCTAAAGACCACATTCAGTAAGTTTTGAATCTAAAACAATAAGGATCCATTTGGTTCAAATGCCAATTTTTTTAAAAAAAATAAAAATAAAAATAGGAACCAACAGAAATGAGATGACGACTTGAATGAAAATGGTATCTTAATTCTATATCAAGTCCATGTCCAATTCAAGATTAATGAAATTGTGAACCCTACCAAGGTAAGTAAGAATATAAAATCATTATTCTATAATTTGAAGAGTGGAATGAATTCAAATTATTCTATAATTCGAAGGATAGTGATAAAGTTGTGGAGAATGCTAGCAAGAGGAAGATCGCCACCCCAAATATCTTCATAGAAC